GTGCAGAAAAAGCAGATATCTGGATATCTGCTCAAACAGCAGGAACATATTTATAACTTTGAGTCCTAGCAAAAACTACAGATTTGGGCTATAAGCATGTACGCTTTTCTTCTGTCCAGAGAGCCAGGTATGGACAGAGGTGCCTTTGGCCTGATGAAAAGCCCTTTAAGTTTATACTTAGATGACAACCAAAATAAACTTAAAAACCTTGCGCTTGTGTCTGAACAGTAGATAGTCACTATTTTATCAGCTAACATGCTGACTATAGTCTATAGGGGATCTGACTGTCTGATGCTGTCAAGCTGCCAACCAGTAATATTTCAGAGGTCTGAGAAGGGTATATTTTAACCGAATCTACTAAAAAGTGACAGAAGCCAGTTAGAAGCAAGTCCATATACAGGTAGCCAAACCCAAGTTTCTCCATTGCTCACTGATCCAGGTGCAGGAACTGAGATGCCTCATAATCTTCTTTGGAGACGTTGGGTCACTGTCAGGATCTGGCAGTCTGTCTGATATTATAAACCTTAAAGATAACAATTTAAATGCCATATTCTGCAGGTCTCTGAAGCATTAGAGGTCTGTCTGTTTTAGTTACTTGCCTTAAGCACACAAGAAGCATACAGGTAATTTCCAGCCTGACTGTAACTGGTTTTAACTTAGTAAAATATTTGAAACTTAGCACAGCTGAACTTAAGACTGCATAGAGCTACCTTATATTCCTTAAACAGTAGCTACATGTAAATATTTTAGCTGCTTGCTCAAATGAGACAGGGTTTTTCTGTGACTTTGGAGCCTGTCCTGGAATTGGATCTGTGACCAGGCTGGCCTTGAACTAAAGATCCATCTGCCTCTGCCTCCCGAGTGCTGGGATTAAAGGCGTGTGCTACCAACGCCCTAAACTTAAAGGCATGTGCCATCAACGCCCTAAACTTAACTTCTGAAAACACAAACTGTAATATCTTATAATAGATTAGCATCTTTTATAAAACAAGAACTTTACATTGTCAGGCTTTGCTTAAAAATAATTCTAAATTGAAGCTCTTTAAGTACAAGCATTAATAAAAACAAACATTTAAAAAACTGGTTTTAAAAAGAAATTTAAATTCCCTTAAAGTCTTTTTGTAATATATAGAAGCGTTAACATTTTAAATCTTAATTGAAAAACTCAGCAAAATGGCTACCAGTCAGCCATGTGACCAGTTTGCCATGTGGCTGGCTACAAAATGGCCGTAACTTGCACCACTTGCTTAGCTACATGCTTGTAACAGAACTTAGGTTATACCAGGAAACAGAATATTTTAAAACAAGTATTCATAAGTTACTTGAGAAATAAACAGGACTTTTTAAACAGAATTAGCTTAATATGGTTAAAGTTTTAACTTATATTACCATTTTTAAAATTCACTATTTGTAGACATGAAAAACCATAAACAGTTTACAGTTTACATTTTTCTCTGACTTGTAACAACCTTTTCTCTGACCTTCTACGACTTGCTTTAACTCTTTATAACCTTTTTATATACTTTTAGTTCATTCCTCTGACTTTCTTAGACATTCTTAGACAAATTTCCTTTTTCCCTCTTTATTACGTAAGTCTCCTACATTTTCCCTTATTTCTCAGTCAACATAGAAATTTTTATCAAAGTCCCTTTTACAGTTCTTAACTTAATAACTTTAAGGCTGTTTTTTTTTTTTTTTTTTTTTTTTTTTTTTTTTTTTTTTTTGAAAGTCTGGAATAGGCCGGATGGTTCACCCACCTGAGATCCATGTGCTCAAGGCAGAGTCGTGGGGGGGAGTGCCGCTGGTATTACCAGATGCTCAGCCAATGCAGGGGTGGGAAAAAGACCCCCACAGTCCCCCTGCATACCAGGTGGGTGGAGCATAGGGAAGGTTGGGCAGCCAGGCAGATGGCAGCCTTGCAGCCATGTTCCCTCAGAGCAGGGAAACTCCCGAGGCAAGCCAGGACCCATGGCAGGATGGCAGCTGGGGCAGAAACAGACCCACTTGGCATGCCTCACAGACCCGAAGGTGGGTATAGAAAGGGGATGGCGTGGTGGATCCTGAATTGAAAACCAACGATGATAACACAGAATAGACAGGAAAGAACAGACGACAACCCAATCCACCAGCGCCGCTTATAAGGCAATGGCACCGGGAAGATGGGTGGCAGAACCCAGCAGCTAAATCATCGCTAACTGAGGAGGATCCAAGTCCTTGGCCTCCGTCCGTATCTCCTGAGTGTCCTCAGCGCAGCAGTCTGTCCTCCGGGCGCATCTGCCGATCACAGTTGAGGTGGCGCCACGTGCTCAGAGCATCAAGAAGAGACCCCTGCCCCATGCATGCCATGTGCGTGGGCAGTAGGGACAGAAAGAGATGTTTAACATAGACTAGGGTCCTATTCAGAATTTCAGATGGCTAGCCCCATGGAGATCAACTTGGTTCGAAACCAAGTCTCCCCTATAGATTTCGGAAGGCTGCCGCCCGAACCTCTGCCCTAAACAATTCTTGTAGGCCTACTACTCACAGATGTCGCCAGAAACCCCAACATAGGACCTCCATATCCACAAAATTAACAGAAATAGTAAAATTGACACACAAGCAGGCAGTTAGGGTGTGGGCTGCAACAGATCAGATAACAGCTAACAAACCTGTTGCAACTGTTCAGTCACCCAGCCCATTCCAATCCTCCAGGCTTAACAGACATTAGACAGGCCAGACATTAGACAGGACAAACCACGCGGCAAAGAAATGGTGCCCCAAACTAAAATTACAAACAACCCTTGGACTTTCGTCCAGGGCGTAACCAAGGGTTCCAGAAATACGTCTATTCCTGGGCACGTCTGCTTTCCCTATGGTTCAATTCAAACAACCCTCGGACTTTCGTCCAGGGTGGGACTTCGGGGTCTCGAAATATGTCTATTTCCCCCTGAGGTCCGAATTATACAAATACGAGTACAAATCAGGAGTCCTGCGCAGGCTCAGATCAACAAAACAGCAAATTCAAGTGGCACCAAACCAACAAAAACAAGCAAACATATAACATTGAACATATAAGTTGCGAGCTCGAATCATCTTACCTCCAAGATTGAATCCACTCAGGTGAGGGGTGGTCGCAAATCGCGGATGAGCCCCCAAATGTTAGACCCCGGAAAACTCAGGTATCCGTATCCGGGGTCCCAGGCCATGACTTCGGTCACCCCAATCACCAGGCAGATTCGAGAGCTTGCTGCAAACTGCACGAGGCTTTATTGTAATTTAACAAGCTAACCCCATGTTAGCTCGGGTCTTTCACCCACCCACCATGGCGGATGGCTAGCAAAAGGCAGTTCGAAGCCGCTGCATACAGATCTTTATAGGGCAGTGTAAGGGGAGTGTCTAGGGGTACGCACAGGCTCAGGATTGGTGTGCCTCCAGGATTGGAGGGTTTGCCCTGTGTTGATTGGTCAACTGGTTGTTATGACCCATAGGCCCTCCCAGGGTGGTTGCTATGCTCTCTACGTCATTGCTTTGCGCTTGTCTGTAAAGCACACCCAGAGTCATAAAGCATAGCGCCACCAGCTAACTTCTGATTGGTTCCTTGTCACGAGGCAGGCATCTGACTTTCTAGTGACTAACTTCTGATGGGTTCCTTGTCACGAGACAGGCATCTGACCTCTAAGTGACCAAGGCAAGTTTATGGCAAGCACATGTTCGGCTGTTATGGCTGCCGAAAGGGGAGCAGGTCCCTTCATCCCAAAAGTCATCCTCTAATCCCTACAAACAAACATTC